AAGATTTGAGCTTGCTGCTGCCATGGGTTCGAAGTGATTTTCTGTCTGAGGGAATTTATGTCCAGGAACATTTTAAAACATAGAGGGTTATTCACAAAGCTGCGTAGGCTTTCCTACATCGGCTTGTTGTGGCTGGGTTGTTCAGCCGACCCGTAGTGCAGAAAGAGTTTGACTCAGCTGATCCAACATCTCGGCTCGGCTACTCGGCTCGGCACCTCTATGATACCGGACAGAATAGAAAAGCAGTTCAAAAAGTAGGAATAAAAATAGAAAACGATTGGGTGGAGCTAGCAGTGACAGCTAGCTCCGCCCAACTGTTTTCTTTTGGCCAGGACCAGCTGTCATTACAATGAGAGTTTGGCAGAGCCGGCGGTGATATCAAAGCCTGCTCCGCTAAGCTCTCATTGTAATGACAGACTAGCGTCCCCTGGTTACCTAGTAACCAAGGGACGCTGATCTATCATTGCGATGAGAGCTTAGCGGAGTTGGCTTTTATATCACCGCCGGCTCCGCTAAGCTCTCAAGACGGTTCAGCGTCCCCTGGTTACTTTGTAACCAGGGGACGCTGAACTGTCATTACACACTGAGAACTCGGCGGAGCCGCCGTGATATCACGGTGGCTCTGACGAGTTCTCATTGTAAAGACAGATCAGCGTTACCTGGGGATGCTATTCTGTCATTGCAAGTGGCCGGAGCCAGCTGTGAGATGGCGGCTGGCTCCAGCTGTCAGAAGCAGCTTTGGATTTCACCTCGGCTCAGTCGAGCCGAAGCATATGCATTCGGCTCGACCGAGCCACTCGGCCAACTGCGGGAGCTGTAGGGGCTATAGTGAATAGCCCGTACAGCAGCCCTTCGGTTCTATTGAACCAAAGGCCTCCCATAACCGAAGCTAGCCGAAGGATCAGCCGAAGCTACGGCTGGATCCTTCGGCAGCTTTGTGAATAACCCTCATAATATACTGTGAGGTCTTTGAACCATGGCCAGAAGGCTTAGAAGGTCCAATAGAGGGATTTTAGTTAAGCCAGCTAATATAGAAGGTGATGGGGGAACAGAGCAGCCAAAGTGTAAGTGAATTTGAAGCCGGGGTAGGGAAAGCTGACAACAAACTGCAGTTAGGAAATTCCACTTATAGCTCATTGGGCAAAAGAAACTCCTTTGCTGTCTTTTTAATTATTATCGGGCACTTTTTGTGGTTTATTTGAGATAAGGGCTTATTTTAACTGCCTTTCCTTTCCATGGGGGCATCAGGAGTTTGTATTTTGGGGTTTTATTGTATATTGTTAGGGCCTTTATTTTAGCTTTGTTTGTGCTGAAAGGCTAACCTTGAAAAAAGATGGCGGACATTTGCTTCAGGGCTGAAATGTAGGGGTTTTCATTAATTTTCATTCATCTAGATTTTTCTATTTCTATTTTATGTTGGTAGGAGTAGGACATAAATTTAGGATACTGAACCAGATCATTCACTTGTTACTGACCATCAGCTCTTGGAGCTACCTTTTGTTCACACCAAATCGCTGAATAATTTAAAAGAAAACAAAAATAATAATAAATAAAAACATATCACTTACAGTCACTGCAGTGCATTATCCCTGTGGACAAAATAAAAGTTAGGCACACACTGGTTAGGCCTATTTTCTTTGATCAAAATGTCCTGCTGCTGCTGGCTATTTTTACACTGCTGTATCATCTGCAATTTTTTAATTGCTCACAAGCGATGGATAGAAAATGGTAAGCAGCCGAATAGGGGTGCATCTGCTAGAACCGAAACAGCCACAGTGAGTTTCTGGCCAATTTACATCTTCTGGTCAAGGTGGGTCTATTGGCATTTGATGAAAAAGCATGTGTCACTGCTAAAACTTTTCAAAAAGCTGCTTCTGTATGTAAGCCAGGCTCATTGTAAAATAAGGAAATCAGTTGTACAGCCAAACATATGCTGCGGGTGTAGGCTTTTGGTAAGACTGTCTATAAAAAACGCACTGTTCTATAATACCATGTACAGGAGATCATCAGGAATGAGCTGCAACAAAGAAAGGTTAAAAACAAGTATTTTTTCTTACATGCAATTTTTTTAATGATACACTTTGCTTTAGTAAACAAAATGTCATTTATTTCGGGTTTACATGTTTGTTAATGTTTATTTGATATATATACAACATAAGTTTTGTATTAGAAACTAGAAAAAATTAGTTTATAAAATATAAAGCTAAAGTGTATATATATATATATATATATATGTGTGAAACTAAATTGCCACAAACTTACATTTTTCCTTCTATTTGTTGCCTATGTGACAATAGGGAAAAAATTGGCATTTTACATCTTACTACTTACATTTAATTTATTTACATTTTAAACCACAAAAATATGTGTTTGTGAGATTACAATGAAACATAATTTTTTTTCCTAACGGTATTATCAATCTTGTTATAGATGTAAAATAATTAATCTCAAGAGTTGTCCCATTATCTGTACAAGCCTGTGATCTGTTTCATAAGCTGAGGGTGAGGCCTACTAGAACATATAAAGACAAGCAGATATAAGGGAATGGCAAGTGTGCCCCGATGTATTCCTCTTTTTTTGAGTGATTGGGCTTGATTTACTAACAGCAAATAGGCTGTTCACTTTACAAGGGATTTGCACTTAACAAGGTCTGCTGACTTCCATCATCCAGTCATTTCCTAGCCTGTGGTTGTGTATTCTTTGCAAAGTGGATTTTCACTACACTCACTAAGCTAAGGGACAATTCTGTTGCAAAGTACAAAATTCCATTGCAAAGTGAACATCCTATTTGCTTTTTAGTAAATCAGCCCCATTCTGTTTTCTACTTTTGTTTTTATTCTCTGCTTACTTATTTTGTGCTGTTTTACCATGATGGAGAGTCCAAATAAACATAAACCAGATTATTGAGAGTCTAAATAATACCACGCAGGAATGTATAAATGTCTGAGGTACAATAAACAGGTAAATTGTTTTTTTTTCTTCATTATTTGAGTAAATTGTAGATAGCCAGCAGTTCCACATAGTATCAAACTTAGTTGGACAGATGTGATGCTCATATACAGGCTTGTAGTGAAGATCAATTGACCAGTCCTTTCCAAAAGGCAAGGTGGGTACGTCCAATTTCTGTAGTGCAAGATAATACATTTTAGGGCAGAAAACATGTATGCTGAAAAGAGTCCTGTGGGTTGAACTTTGGGCAACCCCCTCCACCCAGTCCTAGCATGCAGGCAGATTGACAGCAGGATACAGAATGTATACATCTCATTTATAAACCGGAACACCCCCATCTAGAAATGTTATACCATAGGTCATCTCCCCCAAAAAAGTCTAAAAAGTCAGCCAGTGATTGTGTAAATTTATATTTGCAGTCCCCCTGCTGACTCTTTTGCAAACATCAGCTCCATAGATACCTAAAGTTGGATGCTCCTAAACCAGTGATAATGAACATTTTTGAACCTGAGTCCCCAAACTGGATCATTAAAAACCAACGTATATTTCTGAAAGTGGCAACCCTGCTCTGAGGTGGTCCGTAAAGGCTCTCATAGGGGCTGTGTGGCACTCAGGTGGGCTCTGCAGGCTCTCAGGTGGGCTTTTCTACATCGGTCGCATAGGCAGAAAAGATGTATGCTGAAAAGAGTTCTGTGGGTTGAAGTTTGGGCAATCCCCTCCACCTAATCCTAGCATGCAGGTAGATTGACAGCAGAATGTATATATCTCAGGCTGCCTCTTTTGCACACATCTTCTCCATAGATACCTAAAATTGGATTCTCCTAAACCAGTGATGGTGAACCTTTGTGAACCCAAGTGCCCATACTGGATCACTAAACCAACTTATGTATCTGAAAGTAGCAACCCTGCTCTGAGGTGGTCTGTACAGGCTCTCATAGGGGCTTCGTGGCTCTCAGGTGGGCTCTGCAGGCTCTCTCTGTATATGAGAGAGAGAGAGATTATGTTTCCACAATTTTTAAAAATTTCCATTTGTTTTCCTCTTTATGCGATCGATGTAGAAAAAAAGCAATGTGTGAAAAAACACATTGCTTTTTTTCTACATCGGTCGCATAAAAAGATAACCTTCCTTACCATCTTGTCTTGAATTGTATTGTGATTGTAATGTCTTCCTGATATTGTAAGGCACTGTGCAAACTGTTGGCGCCATATAAATCCTTTATAATAATAATACTAACTGTGCCATTCTACATTTGGCTTGGCAATATGCATTTGTCAATGCGATTCCCACGTCCTTCTGACATTGAAAAGCGATAAGATACGCACATCCTTACATTTTATTTTTCAATTATAGAAAACTTTCTACACTCCTCTATATTTCTATTTGAACATTATGCAGTACACACAAATATTTCTTGAATCTAAGGATTCGGAGAGGATACATCTTGACGTAACATCTTGACGACATGTCTGACATATTCTGTATTGCTTAGGGATGTCCAGATACCAGTGCCGATATTTGGCATTTTCATGAGAACTACCAGGGTTTCAGCTGGGACCAGGCTCTGGTGCTCCACCACTGTCCTGAAATCATTAGTCTGTATTGTTTTAGAAAAATTGTCAAATGACAATAAACAAAAATGTATCAGTACTCGTATCTGTAAGGACTTGGGCGAGTATCAGTACTTGTACTTGCAAAAATGGTATCGGTGCATCACTAATATATATATATATTTATAAAAACAAAATCATACATTAAAACAGAGATGTACAAATCCCGGGAGCTCCGTGTGCTCCTTACCAATGACAGCTGCCTCCTAACTTTTGAATTTTTCTTAGTCTAGTCTTGGAGCTCCAAAAGTATAATACAGATATATTGTTACAATGTCTGTACTTGGCTCATAGTAGATGCTTATTTCTTACTTTTACTTTTTTCCTTGCTATGTAAACATCAAGGTTTCGTGTAGCTCTGGAACGTGTCATTAAAGGTACAATCACATAGGGAGTTCAGAGCAGTGCTATGGAGATGATATCCTTCAGTCACACACCATAGGATGGATGGGAGAAATCAATCGGTTTTCAATGAATTTGTCCTCCTTGGATTCTCCAAAGATCTAAAGATAAACATTGCTTTGTTTGTACTGTTTCTAATAATCTATCTTATAACTATTATTGGGAATGGTCTGATAATTGGCACAATTCTGCTAAACTCCCACTTGCATATCCCGATGTATTTTTTTCTATGCAATTTGTCCTTGATAGACTTCTGCTATTCCTCGACGTCTGTCCCACGACTGCTCTCCGACCTGTTCTCCGTCCGAAGAACGATCTCCTACTTTGCATGTTTCATCCAACTCTTCATAGTAGTGTTCGTGGGAGGAACAGAATGCCAGCTCCTTGCCCTCATGGCTTATGACCGGTTTGTGGCCATCTGCCGCCCGCTTCATTATCATCATCTTATGAAGTGGAGGGTTTGTTATTGCCTGACTGCCTTTGTGTGGTTCTTCAGCTTCATGATAATCATTGTCCCAGCCCTTGCAACACCCCCGAAGTTATGTGACCAGAACCAAATCAACCACTTCATGTGTGAGGTTCTAGCCGTCATCAAGTTGTCCTGTACCGACATCTCTATGAATGAGCTTGGCATTTTTTCCATCTCTTTTTTGACACCTGCTCCCGTTTATGTTAATCTTAGTCTCATACGCTTACATTATATCGTCTGTATTAAAAATTCACTCCGCAGGACAATATAAAGCTTTTTCTACGTGCACCTCGCACGCCGTTGTGGTGTTTTTGTTCTTCGGCACCGGAATGCTCACGTACTTTGGTCCCAGGTCACAGTACTCTTCCAATCAAAACAAATATGTTTCTGTTTTCTATGTGATTGTTTGCCCGATGTTGAACCCTCTCATCTACAGCCTGAGCAACAGGGAAATCAGAAAAGCAATGAAAATGTTTTTTTCCAAATGTAAAAATCACCCATTACATATTCTTTTGTATAATTAAGTTGATGGCCCAGACCTGAGTATAAGGTAGCACACCCCTGCAAGTAATAATCCAAAAAGGAAAGAAGAATATGGGGCTTTTGAGGTACCGATTGACAATTCCAAGACAGTTTGAGCCGCACATGTGGGGCCTGTGAAGGAGTGAGCAGCATTGAAGGTCTCTCCCGTTTTTGGGTCGTGCTGGGTCTCTGGTGAACGAGGGTAGCAGCGGTGGGCTGATTTGAGATTTGTTGCTCCCTTCTTCTGCTACCTGTTACTGGGACATCTGCCCCTGCTCCTCTCCTTCCCTCTGAATTTTGGGGTTCCAACCAGACTGGCCCGCCTTGTCGCACACATGCCAACTTATTAATCTGCTAATTTGGTAGATACTCTCCATCTCCTGAGGAAGCGCCTTCCAGCGCGAAATGTCGAGAAATTCTACGACCCCTCCACTCTTATTAATTTGTAAACTAATCATGTCGATTTTCAAATCATGTCATACTATTTATAATCAATGAATCATGTAATTTCTGATACAATTTGATGAGTGGAGTGAGTCTGTCTAGGACAGTGGTTCTCAACCTTTCTAGGGCTGGGACCCCTTGGTAACATTTGCCATGTTGTGGTGACCCCCAACCGTAAAATTTAGGGATGCACCAATACTAGTATCTGTGTGGGCTCTTGGGAGCCTATGCGGGCTCTCAGGTGGCTAGTGGGACTCTCTGTGGTGCCCAGTGCGGGCTCTGTGGTGCCCAGTGCGGGCTCTGTGGTGCCCAAGCACTTACCTCCCCTCACTCCTGCCTGCTCCCCTCTCTCTGATCCTCTCCGGTCGCTGATGCTGCAGCGCCATCTAGGAGAACTGACACTGCCATGCTAGGAGGAGGCTGAGGAGCCTCTTACCTAGAGCAACACATGGGGACCCCCTCAACTGTGGGTGACGACCCACTTTTGGGTCGCGACCCACAGGTTGAGAACCACTGGTCTAGGAGATATCTAATTAGCCGGCTTTCACATATGAATTTTTATATCAATATTTTTATTCATTATTTAATAAAATACATTTTTTCTTCTCAAAACTGTCTGGGAATTGTCAATCGGTACCTCAAAAGCCCCATCTTTTTCATTACATATTCTTTGTTGATTTTTTTCTAAAACATTTATTTGTGCAGGTGATGTTCACGTAGTAAAAAATAGTCCTAGTGTAATGGCAAGTATATTTCTCTTAAATCTGAAAATATCAATATTTTATACTCTTATAAGCAACCAGCAGGTGACGTTCTTGATTCCTTTTCAAGTCTGCAGGCTTTCTTTACTTCTCATGGTGCAGTGAAAGGATGAAAAAACAAAAGGTAGTAAGCAAAAAAGTTAAGAAAGTGAATAAAATATAATTAAAAAAAATTAAAACAAAAAATGTCCTTCCTACACACAAGTACATACATACACATAGGCATTTAAGATGAATGTACATACATAAACCCCAATTATGCATTAAAAATCCCTGTGCAGGCCAGACTCATAAGAATGATTTTAGGGCCATTACATTTTTTGTTTCTCTTTCAACTGATGGTCTGTAATAGATTCAATGTGTCAGCTTTTTACTGCTGTGGGTAGGGATGCACCGAGACTTTTCAGATACCAGTGCCGATATTTGGCATTTTCATGAGAACTACCCGGGTTGCAGCGGTTGCAGCTGGGACCGGGCTCTGGCGCTTCACCACTGTCCTGAAATCATTAGTCTGTATTGTTTTAGAAAACCTGTCACATGACAATAAACAAAAATGTATCAGTACTTGTATCTGTGAGGACTTGGGCGAGTATCAGTACTTGGGCGAGTATCAGTACTTGGGCTTGCAAAACTGATATCGGTGCATCACTTATATGTAGCGCTACCCCAGAGATGGCCGCTGTAATATACGGGCCTTCTGTCGTCACATGACTCACCCCCACCTGTGTCCTCCTCTCTCCCCTCAGTCTGTTCTCCTTGTGGTCTTTGTCCAACCAAAAAAACGACCTGGCAGCCAATCACAGCTCTTCTGGCTGCTATCCAATCAAGTCCTTGCTTGCCTTTGTTGTTAGGGGTCGGCTTCCTTCTTAACTAAAGCAGTAACCAATAGAGTCTCTCCTCCAGTCTCTGTGAGCTATCAGTTAAGCCAGAAGATGCAATGCAGTTTCAGAGAGCAAAACTCTGCATATATTACAAAAGCAATACTAAGCCTGTACTACATATAGATGGAGCTCCCTCGCGGCCATAGCCCGAGCCCACCCCACCGTAAACTGACACTCTGTGCCGAGCAGCATATAAATGGCTGCTTGGGGTGAGAACTGACAGAGCTGCGCTAGGGGGACTAGAAAAAGTGAGAAGCCTCTCACCTAGAAAAGTGGAAGGCACGCGGTGACCCACTCAGTGCTGTAGCTACCATGGGGCGAGTGAGGCACTAGCCTCAGGCGTAGCTGAGAGGGGGTGTAACGGGCCTGGCTGCGCCCCCTGCACCTGTTGCCATGGAGAACACAGGGCGCCATTTGCAACAGGGGCACCATGCGGCCAAAACAGCCGCGGCTCGGCAGGGAGAAGAAGAGCGGCACAGGCTCCAGCTTCTCCTTGGATCCCCGCTGCTTTGTATGGACAAAGGACTCTGGGGTCTATTCACAAAGCTGCCGAGGGCAGCCGAGTGAATGACCGATCAGAAGTGAAGTGAGCCGAACACTGTTCAGCTATTCACTTCAGGCTGGTACGGCTGATTTCAGCCGTACATCGGCTTGCTTCGTGTGGCTTCGGATCAGCCGAACATGCTCAGCATGTTCGGCTGA